ATTTTTAGTTAATTCAACCATGACTGCACGGAGAAAAAGGAATTGTTACATCTACTAGTGGATTGTTAATATAGAACTAACAAATCTGATTTGTTGTTGCAACAATTCTTTTTGTTCTCTTAACAAATTAATTGTTATCCCTTTTTCTCCGTGTGTGTAATTCGTTTAACTATTTTTCATCTAGTTGGAAAATAATGATTGAAAAGTAGTGAAATCTACTAATTCAAGAATTTTTTGCTTACTTTTTCTAATTTTACAAATTATAACAAATTTGAAAATTTTATAAAAACGCTGATAATAATTAAAAATAAACTTACTACTTAAAGTCATCAGATAGAAAAAGTAGTTTCGCAAATACAGCTCAATCTGTTTAGATAAAATACTTGAAGTTCAAATTTTTAGGAATGATAAAAAAGAGTACACACGACACGTGGGAAACCACTTTCTCTGAGTAATTTATTCTGGATGCCCTTGAAGGAATACTTCATTTTTTGAAATTCTTAATTTTAAACAATATATGTTCAACAGATTGAAAAACAAAATTTTTTCTTACCAAAATATTCGGTTAAATCGACTAACGCAAAACTGGCGAATTTTCGACCAACTGATGATGCTTAGGATTTCGGCAATGAAAACGACGCTTGCAAGAGTGTATCCAAAAGCTAAAATTCTCCAAACCAGTGGAAGCAATTTTTCCTTTGATAATTCCTCTAGTGCAGGTGGGACATTATACTGGTTCAATGCATCATAGTCAAATAATTTGGATGTTAAGCCTGATTCTGATGCTTTCAGAATTATTTCGTTAAAGCTATCAATGTATGGTGAACTAAATCTTGACGTCCAAATCTGGAAGTAAGATGACAAAACTTCGGGAAGTACTTTCATGTTCATTTTCTGCGTTTTTTGTTGGAAAATTTTCAATAATTTTTCAGCTTCAGGTATCAAACAGGTCACATTCTCATGTTTAGACAAGAAGTCCAGGCAGTCAAAATCAGTCCATTGATCAGGATACACAATAGATTTTGTGCCTAATCTTTGGATTTCCAAGATGGGACTAATTAACAAATGCTTCTTCGTTACTGCATCTGTCATAGGTGTCAGATCAGAGCTAGCTAATTCTTTGAGTGTTGTTATTTCCGATTCTGGACGCCAACTAATGTCCAGAATTACTGAGTAAAAGTAGCTGGAGTAGGCAATGCAACTCACTAGCAGCACTCCCAGAATAATCCTTTCTGATAATACTTCAGGTTCGTTGACGCTGGACAATCCCATTACAATTTGACTGATATTAAACGTTTCCCATGTTCTTCGACTCAATTTCAGCACGATGGCTGTCATCCGAAGCAAGGCAATCGTACCGATGGTTACGCACATCATGGTAATTAATTCCTCAGACATTACTGTGATCTTACTTATTTTTGAATTTTTGGGAATTACAGCTTTCTTATTACCAATTCTTGTAACACGGTCTTTCATAAAGATAGCATAATTATCATCCTTAAGAAAGTATTGAACTGGTGTTACAGTCATTTCCAATCTGTAATGCTTAAAATATTTTTGAATATTGAATTTTCTTGAGATTTCCACAAAATGCATTTTGTAGTTGCAATTCATAACTTTGGAAAAAAGTTTGCAAAATCTTTTAGATATTGCAATCTCTAATTGAGTTAGTTTATCATTCTTAGGTCGAAGGTGCAGAAATTTTAGCGCATACCCATGTAGATTTCTCAGTTTGTTTGGAAACCATTCAGTGGCATTTGTTATTCTTTGAGCGGTATAGGTTCCTGCAAAACGATTCGTCTGATGCAAAATCGATTGATTCAATTTGTCGCCTGATAAGAATTCCTGGTTGTCGTTTAGTTGTGTCATTACAGCAATATCAAGAAATTCATTCGACCAGAAAGATTGAAGCAATTTCTTTATTGAAGAAGAATTGCTTTGTGGAAAAAGGTTGATCAAACATTTCGGATGTGGACGTCCTCTTGACAGATGATGCAGTTGATTACCTACAGTTGTTACTTGAATCCTATTCTCATTCAATTTTCCGCTGAGAAATAGAATAAACAATGTCGTTCTTCTGGGATTTTGTAGAGCCGACGAGTAGTTAGTCTCGATGAATTGATACCGAAAAGAAGACAAACTGATGCACAAGGTTGGAAAGTGCTTGCCAACTTCTCGTACGAGAGGATTTACTCTTGAACTTGAATAATTCATCATGTGATCGCCAACGACAAACATTACCTAATAAAGAAATAATAATATTTAATAAGCAGAATAAAAATATGTTTTAAATGATTGTTGTCAGAGCAAATGTATTAAAAATTTAGCTGATGTTGGCTAATGTAGGAAATTTATCTGATGCCTCAGCAAACATTTTCACTGTGGTTGCTTATTATGAGTGACTTAGCATAGGCAAACATCAGTTAGTGTTAGAGTTTTATTCATTTACATCTTTATAGATGAAGTATTGTGTTCATGAAATGATTACAGTTATAAAATTGTATCAACAATGTTAATGGCAATGGTTTTTTATAAACTAGTAAAAGACTTAAATTATTTTCTTCTTCTAAAATACCTGATACAATTTCGACTCTTTCTGCAGATAGTCTGCTAATCCTCTTAGGTAATTATTTTTAGGCAGATCTTTTAGATTGCCAGACTCAATAATAATTATTAAAAACAAACAGTACTTTAAGAACTTCATATCAAAAGTTAATAAAATTATAACTAGAAAGAAAGAGAATGTTCCGCCTTTACAATATCAAGGCACTTCTCTGAGTGAAAATTTACTGAAATTTTTTCTTTCTTATTTCTGTATTTTAGATCTAATTTCGTAGATGGTCGACTTGATTGTGAAACTACACTTTGTACAATATTTAAAGTATCGATCTATTCCTGTAATTATGTAATGTCCTTAACCTACAAGTGCTGGAGGTCGTTATAATATTCACCGAAATATTTATAATACAAAATATTGCAAATAAATTATAATTATAATAATATTTTCTTAAGTAGAAAATATGATAAATATGCTTTGTCTCAACTCGAGCATGTGAGAGTTAAAAGTAGCTTCAAATATAATAATCAAAATATCAATAAAAATATCATATTCTTTGAAAATAATAGAAAAAGATCTAATAAAAGAGAATACACACGATATGCTAATGTAACAGAAAAATAAAAAAAAAATGTAAATCTCTTTTTATAAATTTGTGTTTGAAAAAATTTGTTTACGCGTCAAAATATCAAAATCATCTTACAAAATATTTAAAAACTTGGTTAAGTTAAACTTAACCATTTTAATCTGCATACAGTAAAGCAGGGTCAAATTTTCTCAAAAAAATCAAAGTTGGTCATGGGTCTTTCAATTTTTGTGAAACTTGGTATAAAGGTAGTGTTTTATGACAAAAGATTTTAGGAAAAAAAGATTTTTAAAAATTTTCAAAATTGTGGATTTTACCGGGTATTAAACATAAAAACACATTTTTTTAAAAAAACGAGTAACTTTTATCCATTTAGTTAGATATTGTTTACATTTTAGGTAATAATAGTGGATTTATCGAACAATTTAAAGTGCAATAATAAAGAAAAAAAAATCCAAAATTTGCCCGGAAAAAAGTCAAAAAAAATTTTAATTTCATTTTTTCGGGCATAAGCACCCCTTCTATTTTTTGTAACTATAATATTTAGATTCGTTATCTTCTCCAAAACATATAGGTCACAATTTTTTTTCTTTATTATATAAAAGCTATAATTTTTTATAAAACTCACTGTTTATACTTATCCAAAATCTTCAACCCCTTCCCCCCTACAATTTTGTATAAAATTTCATAATTACTTAGTGGCTTTAAGTACTCATTCATAGCTCTAAATACTTTGAAAATATTAGCCCGATCTAACAACTTGCAATTTTGTCAATGGTACACTTGAGAAAAGCCCCTTATATATTACATACACATTTTGAGATTCAAAATTGTTTAAGAACAAGTTTATAATGGCAAAACTTAATTTTTAAAAATTCCTTTTTTACTAAAAATTAACAAAAAAATATTAGAATGCGAAAATCCACGCTTAAAAACGTGTGGTGCACATCTCAGGCGTGCATTTACGCGAGATCGATATCTGTGCACCTCGAGACAAAAAGTCGATATTTCGGTTAGTTTTAAAGTCTCCAGGGATTTTTTTTTGCAAAAAATTTTTGAGAAGATAACGAATCCAAATATTATAGTTACAAAAAATCGAAGGAGTGCTTATGCCCGAAAAAATGAAATTAAAATTTTTTTTGACTTTTTTTCCGGGCAAATTTTGGATTTTTTTTTCTTTATTATTGCACTTTAAATTGTTCGATAAATCAACTATTATTACCTAAAATATAAACAAAATCTAACTAAATGGATAAAAGTTATTCGCTAAAACAATGTGTTTTAATGTCTAATACCCGGTAAAATCCACAATTTTGAAAATTTTTAATAATCTTTTTTTCCTAAAATCTTTTGTCATAAAACACTACCTTTATACCAAGTTTCACAAAAATTGAAAGACCCATGACCAACTTTGATTTTTTTGAGAAAATTTGACCCTGCAATGATTTTTGCAAAAAATCGAAAATTTTAAAATCACAAATAAAACTGCCAGTACTATAGATTGGCGGTGATTCTAGTTTCACATACTTATAGAAGATTAAAATTATTTATTGATTCTAAATTACCTGATACAATTTCGACTCTTTCTGCAGATAGTTTGTGAATCTACTTAGGTAATCATTTTTAGACGGATCTGTTAGTTTAACAGTTCCAATAATTATCAAAAACAAACTGTACTTTAAGAACTTCATATTAGAAGTTATTAAACGTTGTGACGTATGAATTTAACTAATTTTATTTTAAGTTAAAAGTTTCTGCTTTACGTCAGGCAAAATCCGACGCTTTCAACAAAAAAATAATAATTTGAAATTTAAGTTAATAAATTTCGCCGTCAGGCGCCAATTAATTTTAAAGCTAAATTAATAAACTTTTACTCGGCTCGACTAACAACAAATTTAACTCCTCTGAGTTTACTCTCTCACTCAGAGGGAATTCTGCTCGAATGATTGGCAAGCAGAAAATGCCAACGACGAGACACGACTGGCACAATATCGGCAAAACGACTCACCCACGGTGATGACTCCCTTTTCGGCTTCCTGGTTTCCCTCCTTTCTCTCGGCTTTTCGGCGTTGTTTTCTCGAAGGATGTTCGGCTTAATCCAAAGGGAAAAAAGGGAGGTTGACACAAAAGAAAAACTATTATTTCACTCTCAATTTACAAGTCTCACACTATGAATTTTATTACTCCTTTTACTCGAAGTATACTACTCCACTCTACACTAAGTTCGACACACTCAATTGTTATTTCACTACAGGAAAACGATTTTATTCACTCGGTGAAAACTTCGACAGTATTGCACGGCGGAAATCAAAATCATTATGGCGGCGAAAGTATTAGACACCTGTTGTCTCGGCATTTCTCCGCACATGGTTCATCTTCTTCTTCTCGTTCTCCGAAAATAGTACTGGCCCCGCCATCTATCACTTTCTCCGGTAGCCAGCCGCGCGACCCACTTTCGTTACTTCTAGTAGGTCAGCCGGCGATACTGGCTTTCTCTAATTACCATGATAACTGGGCCTGTTGATTCGGGGCTTTTTCCGACGGATGGCGTGACGATTCAGAATTTTCGGCAATTAAATGACAAGATCGAAAATTCACTTCGTCACAATCCCCTCCCCATGACCGGTACTATTTTATATAGGACTGTCATCATCTGATGATCCTGAAAACTGGCTTTTCTAGTTTGTTCGGCTCTTCTCTTTTCTTATTCGGCTCTCCTCCTCTCTCGTTCGGCTCTACTCCTTTCTCATTCGGCTCTCCTCCTTTCTCGTTCGGCTCTTCTCCTTTCTCGTTCGGCTCTCCTCTTTTCTCGTTCGGCTCTCCTCCTTTCTCGTTCGGCTCTATTTCTTTCTTGTTCGGCTCTCCTCCTTTCTCGTTCGGCTCTATTTCTTTCTCGTTCGGCTCTCCTCCTTTCTCGTTCGGCTCTATTTGCTTTCCTATTCTTTCTTTTTCTTTGCCTTCCTCTCCTCCAACAATTGTCTAATGGCCAAGTCGACCGTTGACGCTGGGAGACCGGCTAGAGCCTTTGTGATGGCCATGATTTTCTCCACTAGGTCCTCGTCTTCCTTTTCTTCCACACTCGTTGACTGAGACTTTGGGCCTTCTGGTTCATTGCCCTCCTTTGGCTCTAACAGTCCCTTTTCCTCCATTACTGGTTCTTGGGTGTCTCCTTCCACCAGTTTGTCATCCTCGTTCGGCATGTTGGCCTCGTTTGTTGACTCGATGTCTTCTCCTTCTGGCTCATCGGTCCCAATATCCTCTACATCTTCTTCCACGTAATAGGGGATACCCTTAAAACGGCAGTATGCTTCCGCGCATCTTGGGCAGTCCGTCATTTCGGTGTTTCGACGTCCACAGTTTCGGCAATAGATATGAAGAATAGGGTATTTGCAATCCGCCGCCCTATGTCCTCGCCTCCAGCAGTTAAAGCAACAATAGGGGGGTGGGTCTAAACCTTCGATTGTTGGGATCTCCTTCAGACCACTAAAGATGACCCCGTTTTTCCTCGGTTTCCAACCACTGGTGTCTTCTTGACTATTTTCTCCACGTCTTTCTCTTCTGGGCTCCTTGCGCCTTGCGCCGGTCTCCTCGACGCGCCTGACCGGTGGTCCAGGATGGGGCGAGTGTGATCGTTGTGCCCTCTGCACAGGCTCCCCACTCTCCATGTCTTCCTTTCGGAGCACCGGGCGCTTTCGTTCTTCAATGGCTCTTCGTTGACTGGCCCGCATTCTTTCCAACGACACAGACGTTAGTGGCTCTTGGAGACGTAGGAAACGGTCTAATTCAAACTCAGCCAACCGGCTCTCATACTCCTCGTTGCTTTCACCTGGTCGTCTATCGGCTGGCCAGCGATAAGGCACCACTATCTCTGCGCCATCTGGTCTACACCCTTTTATTGGTTTCTCAGTGGCTTTTTCTAGGGCGCTCAAATCGGCCCAGTCACTCGACATGGTTATTGGTTCGAGTAGGCCTCCTACTGCTCCTTCTTCGCTTTCTGCTTCGGCTCTCCTCGGTCTAATTTCCTCTCTCGGCTCACCCTCTTCCACGATTTGTTGTGCCCTTAGTGGTTCTTGATTTCCCTCCTCAGTAATTGGGAACGACAAGTATGAGGGTCTTTCCAATTGATGTCCTTCGATGGCAAATTCGGGGAAAGGGCGGTGTTTGGATTGAGGACGTCCTCGTCTCTCCATCCTGGCGCTTTCCTTTCCCAGTTCCTCCAATTTTCGACCACCTCTTTCTCTGGAACGACGGCTTCCTTGCGGCATATATGGCATGACTCTCCTCTCTTTCTCTCTTTCGGCACGACCTTTCCACTTTCGGCTCTCCTTTCGATCTAAAAACGAATTTAATTATGCAAAAGGGGACATACTATTTTCCACATTTTAGACAGGTAAGTAAGGTTTCAGGTCTGTTATGTGGACTTTAGGTACTCGGCGGCTCTGTTCATCTCGTAAGATGAAAACAGTTGGCGATAGGACCTCAATGATCTCATATGGACCTTCGTATTTCGGCGCTAATTTGGTCGCGAACTTTTGTGCCCCACTGGACAATTTATGGCTTTTTCGCAACACTAAGTCTCCTACTTTGAAAGTTACTTCTCTCCTACCTTTGTCGTAATACTTGGTTTGTCTCGCCCGTTCTTTATCAATATGTCTGGCTACCATGTCCCTTAACGCGTCTAATCTCTTAATTCGGTCTACCCAGTTCTCCGGCTCTATCCTAACTACTTCTCTCCTTTTCTCTATTTCTCTTCGCAGGCTCTTTACTGGTTTCGGGTGCCTTCCATAGTTCAGGAACGCTGGAGATGTTTTCGTTGCCGCTTGGGTGGCTGTGTTCACGGCGTGGCGGAACTCGTGCACATGAAGATCCCAGTTCCTATGATCAGTACCAATGAAAGTGGAGATCATTGTTTTAAGGGTCCTGTTGCTTCTTTCGACTGGGTTGGCTTGTGGATGGTAAGGAGGGGTCGTAATGTGTTTGACTCCATATTCCTCAAGGGTGGACTTTAGAAATTTGTTGTCAAACTCCTTACCGTTGTCAGTCAGTAAGTACTCTGGCGTTTCCCATCTGAATAGGACCAACTCTTCGAGTGCTTTGGCTACCGACTTCCCATCAGCTGACCTCAGTGGCTTCACCTCAATCCACCTCGAGAACAAGTCCTGGAACACCACCAAGTACTTGCACTGGCTCTTACTCGGTGGAAACTCCATCGTATCGGCAGCTACTACGGCCCACGGTCTCTCGACGATCCTCTGGCCCATCAGTCCGACTGGTCCAGTTTGAGATACTTTATGCAGTTGACACTGGAGGCAATGCGTCACATAGTGGTGTATATCGTTCCATATGCCTGGCCAATAGTATTCTCGTGCTATCCGATCGTAAGTTTTCTCAATCCCTAAGTGTCCGGCTGATGCTTGGGCGTGGCCATCTTCCATCACTCGGGCTCTGTACTCTTTTGGCACCACCAGTTTCCAGCCATCCTCATCTCCGTTTATCGGCAGTAAAAGTGGGTCACTTCTGTGACGATATAGGTTCTCGTTCTCAACGATCCACCCTGGGAACCTCTGAGGGTGTTGGTTCACCAGCTCTCGGCGTTTGAGGTACCACTGATCCTCAATGGATTCAAACGCGGCTATTGACTCTTCTTCTTCCTCCTGTAACCTGGACAATGCATCTGGGACATGATGTTGTGCACCTCTTCTGTGAACTATGTCGAAGTCCCACTGTTGCATTTCTAGGGCCCATCTGGCTAATCGGCCTGTAGGATCTTTCAAGTTCCTGAGCCATTTTAGGGCACTGTGGTCCGTGATCACATGGAATTTGTACCCCTCGATGTACGGCCTGAACTTTTTGATCGACCACAGTAATGACAGACACTCCTTTTCTGTCACACTATAGTTTTTCTCTGGCTCCGTTAAGACTCGGCTGATGTAGACTATCGGATGCTCTCCGTCTTCAAACTCTTGCGTTAGTACGGCTCCAATGGCATAGTTGCTGGCGTCACACTGAATTGTGAACTTCTTCGTGAAGTCAGGTCGGGCTAAGACTGGCGCAGATGTCAGCTTCTGTTTGAGCTGTTCAAAAGCTTCTTGTTGCTCTTCCTCCCACTCCCACGTTCGGCCTTTGTGTAGCAACTTCAGCAATGGTATTTTAATTTCGCTGTCGTTTGGAATAAAACGGGAATACCACCCGACCATGCCTAAGAAACGTCTGAGTTGTCTTACGTTCTTCGGCTCTGGATAGTTTCTCACCGGCTCTGTTTTATTCGGATCTGGCCTCAGACCCTCTCTGTCCAATAAGTAACCCAGATAAGTTACTTCGGAACACCCGAACTCACACTTATCTGGGTTCACTATTAACTTCGCTTTGTTCAACTCCTTGAGGACGAACTCTAACCACTTAGCATGTTCTTCAAAAGTGTCTGTGACTACTATGATGTCGTCCAGGTACCCAAAGATATGCGGTTCTACTTTCGGCCCAAGCAATGCGTCGATTAGACGTTGGAACGTCATCGGCGCGTTCATAAGTCCAAATGGCATTCGGCGAAACTGCCATAGTCCTGACCCAGGTATGGCGAAAGCAGTGTATTTCTTGCTCTCTTCGGCCATTGGTATTTGGTGATATGCCAGTTTGAGATCTACCTTCGACAAATATCTGGCTTTTCGGAGCTTGTCTAAAATATAATCAATGGATGGCAATGGATACCCATCTTTGATTGTAACTTTGTTGACATCTCTATAGTCGTTGCACTGTCGAAAATCGTTCTCTCCTCTTCTCGTGATTACTGGCGCACTTCTCCAACGGCTGGCTGATGGCTCAATGATCCCAAGCTTGTACAACTTTGCGGCATTACCTTGGGCCCAAGTCAACATGGCTGGCGACATCCGTCTTATTCCATGTTGTACTGGCGTTTCGTCCGTAACACGTATATGATGTTCCGTCAGGTCTGTCATTCCGTGTTCTTCCGATTCTGGCAACACCCACTTGTCTACAATGGCCTGGATGATGCTCTTCTGCTCGTCGTCGAGCGCAGAAATACCGGCACATTCGGCGAATATTAAATTTTCGTTCCCGTCTTTTTCTTTCGGCCCAAACTCGTGCCATTCTCCATTGAATACTCTCCATACTCCTTCTTTCAGCTTCACTTCCATGTCCCAGGCCTTACAGAAGTCGATGCCCAAGATGATGTCTTGTGTCAAAGTCTTCATGACTTTTACTGCGAATTTCTGGGCAAATCCGTCGACTACGATGTTAAGGTCCAGAAGTCCGGCTGTTTCGGTGATACCTCCTGTTGCACTCCTCACAACTGTACCACACGGCTGAATTCGGCTTTTGAAAGGCTCTGCTACTCTGGTGGTGATTACTGAAATCATAGCACCAGGATCGAAAAGTGCCTCGTAATGATGGTCGCCGATAGACATGTCGAAGAAGTATCTATTCTCCGTCCTAGATCCGTCGATGTCCTCCTCATTACTTAGGTTCGGGTCAGCTGTGACTCTCACAGCCTCTCCCCTCCCCTGGACTATAGGTACCGGGATCTCATCCGTACCTTTTGTCCCACACTCTTTGGCCATCTTCTCTGCTTCGTTTCGGTGGAGTGAGCTCTCCTCACTTGATCGCTCTTGTTTAAATTCTGGCACGAATTTGAACGCGTTGTCCTCTGTCAAATCGTCCCTACCTATGACTGGCTCTAACTTTTTCTTAACTTTCATTTCTATTTCTAATTCTACTTCTCTCTCAGTTTTTACCCAACTACAACTGGGCGTAAATCTATCTCTATACTCGCTATTTATCTCTACTCTACATGGCTCAACTATCTCGGCTCTCCTTTCTACTACACACGGCTCCCGTAATTCGGCTCTTGTCTTTACGACACTCGGCTCACGAAATTCGGCTCTACACTCTACTATACTCGGCTCACGTAATTCGGCTTTACACTCTACTATATTCGGCTCACGTAATTCGGCTTTACACTCTACTATATTCGGCTCACGTAATTCGGCTTTACACTCTACTATATTCGGCTCACGTAATTCGGCTTTACATCCCTCAACAGTATTATTTACTGTCCTGTTGGGTTTGAGGGGGGTACAGGACTGCTCTGTGCCCCCCACACACCGTTTCCCAAAGCGGCTCTGACTGACACACAATTTGGACAATTTAGGAAATTGCATCCTGGCCTCTTACATACCAAACACGCTTCTGTTTGGGCTGGCTTCAGAGGGCATTGATTTGAATAATGCCCTTGTTGCTGGCAAGAAAAACAAGTTCTCTGAGGGCAATCTCTGGCTCGATGTCCTGTAGTTTGACAGTGAAAACATGCCCCAACGAATTCTTTAGGGGTATTTGGGGTTTGTGTACCATTTTGCCCCGGTTTGGGTCCTTTAGGGCCATTTGGCCTGGGGTAATTTGGTTTCATTTCAGGCGGAAACATCCCTGGGTAAATCATTGGGTAGGCAAATTGCATTGGCATTTGCATTGCTTGGGGTGGCGTAGTACTGGCAACTTGGCCCTGGGCCATTGCTGGCTTCTGGCTTGGTGTTGCTGGACTAATGGCTTCGACGTTCTCTTCTTCTGGTTTACTGTTTTCTTTCTTACTTTTCTTACTCTTCTTCTTCTTTTTCTTCGGCTTCTCGGCTTTAGTGGAGTGATCGCTTTCACTCGACTCAGGCTCTTTCTCCAAAGCGGCCACTTTTTCGCTCTTTACGTGTTTGTGACCATTCTTCTTTTCTTTTACGGCCGCTGACGGAAAACGCATCTTTTCCTTAGGTGGGGGCGGGGCGTATCTTTCGTCCAAGTCCTTTGCCTTCTCGTAGTTCCTTAGGATCTTCTCCATCTGGCTCAATGACTCGAACTGCAGTCTCTCCAGTTGGCGTCTGTAGGCTGGAGTCAGGCCTTTGTAAGCCACCTTGATTTGTTGTTTCTGGCTCAAAGGTCGTTTCATATGACCTAATATTAGTCGGAGACTCGTCAGGTATGGGGAAATTTTCTCTCCCTTGCCCTGAGTCCTGGCTCTTAATTCGTCTATGACATCATCATCGTCGACCACAACCAAATACTCATTTTTAAAGGCTCTTTGGAATGACTTCCAAGAACTTATTTCACGGCGCAGTGACCTGAACCAACTACTGGCGGATTTCTGTAGGATTATCGGCAGTACTTGTAAGATCTCTTGATCTGAGAAACCTGAGTTGGCTCTACAGTCTTCCAGTCTCTCCAGAAATTCTTCGGCATCGTCTTCATCTCCAAAGAATTTTAGGTCCCAGTCCTTAAGGGTTTTGATCACTTTTGACCTCCGGCCGGGCTTAATTTTTTCGCTTCCTCCCCCACTACTTAGGCGTTGACTCAAATCACTCTCAGAATCGGACTCACTCGTAGAGTCATCTAAGATTGATCTTCGGCTCTCCTTTGCGGCTTTCTTCGGCTTTCGTGTTTTTCTCTCTTTTCGTTCGCTTTTTATACTCACTCGGTTTTCGCTTCTACTCTCGCAACTACACTTTTCACTTCCACGGTTCTCCTCGCTATCATCATACTCGATTCGTCTCTCTACCTTGTCTCTTTTACCCCTTCTACTACTCGCGCTATCATTATTTTCAAATTCCGTGATCGGCTCTCCATTTTTCGGCACTCTACGATGAGTGACATCAACGTCACTCACACTATTTCGGCTAGAATGGCTTCTCGGGGCGGGTGTGGGCCTCACTCTATCATTAGTATGATGTGAGTGTGAGGTCTCGGCTAGGAGGGAATTTCTTTGAGGGGACACTAGTCTCGATTGCTGGTGGTGAATCAGATGGTGCCCCTCTGCAACCTCAGCCCTACATTGGCTTTGTCGTAGCTCCCACCCCCCTCCCGAATACTGACGGTCCAATTTCTCAGCGTACTCCATGATTTTTTTTATTTCGGGTGACAAACCCAAACGCGCGACTGAATCTCGAAGGCTCTGGACATTCGGAGCCATTGTGGCTGAGGTGATGGTGTGCGGCGATGTCATGACAGTGCTCGTTGTCATACTTAATTGAGCACTGGTAGTGGTGGGAGAAACTGTCGTCATACTGGCGGTTGTCATGACTGGGGTTGGGGGTGTAAAATTTGGGGCGGATGCTACGCTGGTCGGACTGTGCCTACTGTACGATGCTCTGTCCCTTGTTTTACTTTCCCCACTTCCTATGTTTTTCTTGGCACTAATACGCTCTATGACTTGACTTGCCCCGCTGTCTGAATCTTCGTCATCTGCCGATGACATCTGGCCACCCCGACGATAATTCACAAATGGAAATTTTTCCATTTCTGGCTCCGGAAACGCTTCCAACAAAAAGATTTTGTCGGAATTTCCTAAGTCATACCGATCGCAAAATGGCACGTCGCTACCGTCGTTTAGTGCTAATCTCATTTCCGCTCGTAGTAGCCTCTCCTTCAAAACTTGTGGCGAACCACTGATACACAGTTGGTGTCTCAGTAAGTTCGTCACTATCTGGCCAACTTGCATGATTTTAATTTTTTCCCATGCTCGGCTTACGCACGGTACTTCAATTAATTCACTCATGCGTCTTTTGTAGTCCTGCATATCATCAATTGCCTTTGCCATTTTAAAAAAAATATTTTTAAAGAAAAATTTTCTAAGTAAAGAAAATTTTTTTTTTTTTCGGGGGGGTGCACGATTTGTATATACGGCACTGTGCTGTCTTAAAGCAAGGACGTGACTACTCAACGAGGGCCCCCTTTTGAAATTTTTAATTTTCTGGCGGACTGGTGGCTCGACTCTCCCTCTGTCTCTTCTTCTCGTTCTCTCTCTCTCTTTCTCTGTGTAGCCGCTATTACTACTACTACTGGGCCACTTTTTCCTGGCGCGCGCAAACTTTCTCTCGGCTGTCGAAATTTTTAAATCTCCCGGCGCGTCGTTTCTCTCGACCGTCCGGCGCACTATTTGCAGTCACGTGACTAATTCGAATTTTATTTCCGGTCTAACATGTGCTCGGCATAAATTTTTTTGGGGAAAATTTTGATTTTGCACGAGTTTGTTGGGAATTTTACTCGGATTTTTCTCACAGAACTGGCTTTCGACAAAAAAAAATTTTTAAATTGCTGAATTCAATTTTTATCACGGCAGGAAATTTTTACAGTCTTAAAAGAAAAGAAATTTTCAAATTAAATGGCAAAGGCACTCTACAATTTTATTTTACGCAGTTTTCGACAATAATTTACTCATAATTTATGAATAAATAAATTTCGGCATTGGCAAAATAAATCGGCAAACAATTCGGCAACTTAATTTTTGAATTTTCTTGGCAAAAAAAAATATATTTGGCTCAAAAAAAATATATAAAATTCAAAAATTTCGGCTTTTGGCTATTGAATTCTGAACTTTCGGCTTTTGACAAGAACTTGTCGGCTTTGGCAATTTTAATGTTCAGAATTCTGGCAAAAATTTGGTACAACACAATGTCAAATTTATGTTTATAGTCGTGTCTCGGTTCGAGCCTGGCCCCACGTTGGGCGCCAAATTTTGTGACGTATGAATTTAACTAATTTTATTTTAAGTTAAAAGTTTCTGCTTTACGTCAGGCAAAATCCGACGCTTTCAACAAAAAAATAATAATTTGAAATTTAAGTTAATAAATTTCGCCGTCAGGCGCCAATTAATTTTAAAGCTAAATTAATAAACTTTTACTCGGCTCGACTAACAACAAATTTAACTCCTCTGAGTTTACTCTCTCACTCAGAGGGAATTCTGCTCGAATGATTGGCAAGCAGAAAATGCCAACGACGAGACACGACTGGCACAATATCGGCAAAACGACTCACCCACGGTGATGACTCCCTTTTCGGCTTCCTGGTTTCCCTCCTTTCTCTCGGCTTTTCGGCGTTGTTTTCTCGAAGGATGTTCGGCTTAATCCAAAGGGAAAAAAGGGAGGTTGACACAAAAGAAAAACTATTATTTCACTCTCAATTTACAAGTCTCACACTATGAATTTTATTACTCCTTTTACTCGAAGTATACTACTCCACTCTACACTAAGTTCGACACACTCAATTGTTATTTCACTACAGGAAAACGATTTTATTCACTCGGTGAAAACTTCGACAGTATTGCACGGCGGAAATCAAAATCATTATGGCGGCGAAAGTATTAGACACCTGTTGTCTCGGCATTTCTCCGCACATGGTTCATCTTCTTCTTCTCGTTCTCCGAAAATAGTACTGGCCCCGCCATCTATCACTTTCTCCGGTAGCCAGCCGCGCGACCCACTTTCGTTACTTCTAGTAGGTCAGCCGGCGATACTGGCTTTCTCTAATTACCATGATAACTGGGCCTGTTGATTCGGGGCTTTTTCCGACGGATGGCGTGACGATTCAGAATTTTCGGCAATTAAATGACAAGATCGAAAATTCACTTCGTCACAACGTTATAGAAATTTTAACTTTAAGTCTGCAAGAAGAGAAGTTCGTTGTGTCCTCCCAGTTTGCAGTACTAAAGCAAACTACACATTCTTGAGTGGAAATTTACTTGACTTTTGCTATATTTCTTTTGAAAACTATTTTTGTATGTCACCCCTTAATTTTCTTCATTTTCCCTAGATATTATCATTTTAACAGAGAAAATACGTTTTGTATAACGTTTAGTATATTGATTTACTCCTGTGAGTCTCCTATGTCCTTAGAAATATTGAACCAGAAATTATGCTTCATGCGTTACATAAATAATTTCTCAAGTTTTTAGAATCCTTATGCTTTGGCGAATTTTTTTGGTATTGTACTACTTTCAAAGTATCAATTTAAAACAAATAAATGTTGATATTTACTAAACTTTTTCACAGTTTGTTTCCTGGAATCGTGCAATTTAATTTCTAATTGTATATTATATCAAACTTTATATGATAATTATTAAAAATATGATTAAAAATTAAAAAATTATTTAACAATAATTTTGAAAGAATACTGACTATTGTTTAATGTATTAATAATTTATAAAATTGTTAGATAACAAGAATGAATAAGAACTACTAATTTATAGTACCAATCTTAGAGTAAAAAATATCTACTATAATTGAAAGAGTGAAACTTTATTATTTCAATTAATAGCTCACAGTTTTTCTAAGAATATATTATTCCTGTAATTATTCAATGTCCTTAACCTACACGTATCTGAAGTTCAATTTTCGATTTGCTCAACAACATTCCCTTTAAGGAATGCTTTATTTCTTTGAGATTCTAAATTTCAAATAATGGTAATAAATTCTGCAGCTTAATAATTAAAATTTTTTCTTACCAAAATATACTGTTCAACCGACTGATGCAAAACTACCAAATTTTCGACCAACTGATGTTGCCTAGGATTTCAGCAATAAAAACGATGCTTGCAATCTCTGTATTTATTTTAGCTCTGTATCCCAGAGCTAAAATTCCCAAAATCAGTGGAAGCAATTTCTCCTTTGATAATTCCTCCAGTGAAGATGGAACATTATACTGGTTCGGTACGTCATAGCCAAATAATTTGGATGTTAAGCCTGATTCTAATGCTTGCAGAATTATTTCGTCAAAACGATCAGTGTATGGCAAATTAAATCTTGTCGTCCAAAGCTGCAAGTAAGATGACAAAACTTGCGGAAGTACTTTCATGTTAATTTTTTGTCGTACCAATTGGAAATCCTTTACTAGTTTCTCAGCATCAGGTATCATACAGGTCACATTTTCATACTTAGATAAGAAATCCAGGTAGTCAAAATAATTCCAGTGATCAGGATGCACAGCTGACTTTTTGCCTAATTTTTTAATTACAGATAGAGGACTCTTCAAAAATACCAGCTTTGTTGATGGAGTTGTCAAAGGTGTCAGATCAGAGCTAACCAATTCTTTGAGTGTTGCTATTTCCGATTGTGGACGCCAACTGATGTCCAGAATCACTGAGTAAAAGTAGCTGGAGTAAGCAATGCAACTCACTAGCAGCACTCCAAGAATAATCCTTTCTGATAATACTTTAGGTTCGTTGACGTTGGACAATCCCATTACAATTAATTATAACTACTAATTTAGTTATACAAAACTACCAATTTTCTTGTAAAATATATCATCCAAATGGAAACGTCCACGTCGTTTCCGCGGTATATCTGTTTATAAAATCTAAGGTGTTGTTGTTTTTTAATAAACTATCTTTAACGAATTCAATGTTTTTGAGTGGAATTTATTGTGTAAAATTTTTATAGCTCTATCGATTAGATTGTATACTATTATGTCAATTTTTAGGTTGAAAGGGTGTTTGGAGTTGTTGTTAATAGTGCGTCCAGAGAATGTATTATAGGCTTTTTACACCAATCAGTTATGAACTTGTTTTTGTCATTAATTATAAGAACGTCTAAAAAGTTAATACTTCTTTTGAATTTCAAAGGTGAATTGTAGTTATTCATTATTGAAAGTCTCAATCGTTCTTCTAAATTTGTTCGTTGGTATGCACGTGATTATATCATCCACATATCTAAAGAAGAAAATCGGTTTAAGTGATAATTTTGTTATACAAGAGGTTTCAAGGTCGCACATGACAATATCTGCGAATGGTCCAGAAATTGATGAATAGTGTGCCCGAGGTAGCGTATATTTGTTTATAAAACTTGTCATTAGATTTAAAAAAAGTGTTGCCAAAATAAAATTGGCAAGATTCAAGTAAGTCATCTAATGGAATATTGATATGTTGAGATATTCAATTTTTATTTCCATTGATTCGGAGTGATGGCTCATTTTAACATTCAGATGTAGAAAGCAGCAAAGCTTAATAAATATTATTTTTTCCCCCTGCATTGTTATCGAAGAAGTAATGTTTCAAAAACTTCGCCGGTAAACTTCCTATATATAAATGCTAAAACAATTGATTTGCGAAATAGGCTTTCGCGATTTTATGAATCATCGCTTAGAAATATAGAGGTCTTCATTTGTGAAGAAGGAAGGAAGAGGTAGAAGGCAGAAATTGAACGAAGGTGCGTGGACGATGTAATGTGGGAGAGGTCGAAGGAGGCCAAGAAGAGGTCGCGCACGAGGCACGCATGCCGGAATACGCAGGGACGGTGTTCATAAAGTCTCAGATATAGAGGAATACGAGTTGGGGTGTTGGAACATATATCGATACTCTATGACGGTATACATATAATATCCACATGATGAGGAGCAGGCACAAGATTTGCCACGAAGTTCCACAAGGGTAATATCTACCTGCCTCCTTCAAGCCAAGATCGATCCAGGAGTTGAGCGAGCGCGAACCTCACAGCGAGGTTAAACGTCCAACGTATCTCAAAACTATTCGAGCTGAAAAGTCATCATCGATACTCGATACCTCCTCAAACTTCCTAGGAAACTCAACGGTCCACGAGGAGAGTTATGCATTATGATTTCTGCAAAACTAATCCCAACTGATAATATAATCCCTTGCTTATATGACTCGTTATAACCATTTGGAAAAAATTCCAACAACTCGAGGTAAAGGAAATGAAATAATTTCTTGAAAATTGATTTCAAATTTAATGTAATTAAGTAACGTAGGAAACTAATAACAAGTTTTCATACTAATTTACTTTTATTAACTTTCAACCCGGAACGTATTTTTTATTTTTTTTTACATGATAAAAATCTCTTCTATTTTTAGATTTAGAGAACTAATTTTAGACCAAAGCATTATCTGGAACAATAACTGACTAAATTTATGATTTTGAGTATGTGGTAGAGAAAGAAGGTACATACGTTCCAAAAAAAATGCTTTCTGTACTTATATAGAAGGAATGATTGAATAACGTTAATAACAGCTTCGGAACTTGTATATTACTTCCATGTCGAGCACCTTCCGACACTTAATATTTTACCGAATGAATTATTTACTACGTTCATTGCGTCGCTGGAATTCAGGGAATTTAATGTTTTTCTCTTCGGCGGTAAATTTTTAATTTACTTTCATAAATCATTTACCCTTTTCTTTATGTATCTATACAAGGGATTAACTTTATTTCATTATTCAATCTCATCAATCAATCATTGTTATACCATTAAAGGACCAATCGATTAACTATATATAGATTAACCATCATTCTGCTAATTATTAATAAATTTACTGCAATAGAAAAATACAAATATTTCATTATTATTATTTATTAATAATTTAATATTTATTGCAAACATTATATGAAAATTCATTACGACAATGAATTTTTTATTAAACTGTTAAAAAAATGGCAAATATTGTTTTTCATTAGAAGAATTTAAAAATCAAATGAACAAAATAAATAAAAGAAAATAAAGAAAAATAAACGTAGCATTCATTCTTTTCACATATCAAATTCGTAATAATAGTAATAATATTAATAATAATTATTATTGTTAATTATTTTTGTAATTATATACATTATTATAATTAGGTATAATTACATCAATTATAGTGATAATTAAATATTATAAGTAATATTATTATTTATTACTATTGTTATTGCTATATACTATAATAATTATTGAATATAATAAAAATATTGAATATAATAATTATTGTTATAAAAAATTAATATTTCCTGCAACTCGATTAATATTTTGATTTTAATTTCATGAGTCTATCAACTCGATTTCGCACTTTGACCGGCTAATATATAAAGAGAGTGCAAAGTCGTATGGAACTCGTAAGTATGGATACATCAAGGGAAGCATCAGCTACCACACGTGAGATCTTCATTGACTTGCGACATTGAGAAATATCTCACCTCTGCCATCGAAACATTCAACTTGCATCGGCAAAGTGCTAATCATGTCTAAAGTGCGGAAAATAGAAGAAGCATTAACCATGGCTCCCATTAGTGTGACCGCGTCGAGATTAATAATTATCATACATTGGGTTTGAAGTTGAGAGAAAAAAAACTGAATAAAACAAAAAACAAAACCCCATACACTTTTTATCATCGCTCTCCTGCTGTGGCATCACGTCTCAATGCAAACGCGATTATCGTAATTTCTCGAGCTATTTCTTATGCACGTGTATTACAGAGAACTTGTTCGATAAGATCAACTCACGCGCACAAGATCTAAGGGACGCAAGTGTGGGAAAATTAATAAACTTTAAATATATGCACGCTGTACTTTAGAGTTATTTCAATTTTACGTTATGTAAATATTTCACTGTATGGGAAGATTTATTTTTGGAAACTTTGAATAATATTAGAAATCATGCTTCAAAAATTTTGAACGTTCAAATGAAGGAGATATTTTTTTTAGTATAAATTCTTTTAAAAGTTACTGCGAGTGTAATAAAAATTAAAAAGGTTAATCAGAAAATTTATAAATAAATAAATTATTCTTTAATACGTGATGCGAAATTAATA